TCTCTGAGAGCTCGAGATTTTGAACATTTCTTCATGTGTTTGTTCACCATCTGAGTGTCTTCTAGAAACACAAAAGACTTCTTCAAAGAAAATTACAAAACTTTACTATAAAAACCAAAAAGAGATCTGGAAGCATATCCCTTGCTCATGGATAGGAAGACTCAATATTGTGAACATGACAATATTATCTAAGGATTTCTACATGTTCAATGCAATCCCAATACAAATACTAATTCCATTCTTCAATGCAATGGAAAAGGCAATCTCCAATTTCATTTGGAATAGAAAGAGACCCTGAATAAGCAAAGCACTCCTTAGAAAGAGAAATAAGGTAGGAGGCATCTCACTCCCTGATTTCAAATCCTACTACACTGCTGTGGTGGTCAAGACAGCATGGTACTGGTACAATGACAGACATATAGATCAATGGAATAGAATTGAGAACCCAGAAATCAGCCCATCTACGTATGGTTAACTGATTTTTGAAGAGGAGATGAAATCAGTCAAGTGGGGAATCAACAGTCTATTTAACAAATGGTGTTGGTAAAATTGGAAAACCATCTGCAGAAAACTCTAGCAAGATCCACACCTCACACTACAAAAAAAAGTTCCAATTCGTAATGGATCAAGGATCTAGGACTAAAACCAAAGATTATAAACTTCATTAGAGAAAAGTTTGGAAGAACCGTAAAAGTAATAATCCACAACATATACAGTTTTTCAAGTATCCTGGAAAACCTACAACCAGGAGAAGATAAAATAGATGAATGGGACCTTATAAGAATCCAATAAAAAAACTTCTTCAACAGGGAAAACAGTGAAGCCACAGACAGGGAAAAAACAATATTTTATAATGACATGTCAGATAAGGGACTTATATCTAGAATTTATAAAATTCTCAAGCACCACAACAAGATAAAGGTAAATAATCCAACAGAAAAAGGAACTCAGGATATGAACAGACACTTCACCAAAATCGATGATGAGTGAAAATTGACCCAGCAGATTGATTTTCCACCCAACCCTTCATACATACACATTTTGTGTTATACCTTCTCCTGCCTTCTGAGTTTCTTCTTGGTCAATTGCTATTCTTTTTATTTTGGATGGCTGGCTTTCTAAGGAATGTGTGTGTCCCTGATTTTATTCAACCCCCTTCTAAGCCTCTGGTTTGACAGAAAATGGAGCCAGTGGGGTGAATTTAGATCCAAATTTGAAGGGTGACAAACAATCATCATTTTTGTGATTCTGCCTATCTCTGAATGCGCCCCTGAGCCTTGCTTTTGATTGTTTTTTTTAAAAAAATATATTTATTCCTCATCCCACCTCCTCATTTTATGTAGAAACTTCTCCTGTCATTCCTTGGACGGCCACCTAGGAATCAAAGTCAGACTTTAGGGCATTGAGAAGCACAAGCGTGCACAGTTTTTTTGTTTGTTTTTGTTGTTATTTTCTTGTTTGTTTTCTCATGGTGATAACAGAAGAAAATTGAAGCTCAATATCAAGAAGACTAAGATTCTCACCACTGGACCAATTGGCAGCATCAGGATGGGTGGTGAAGAGATTGAGATTGTTCAAAGCTTCAGTTTGCTTGGCTCCACAGTCAATCCTCTTGGCACCAGCAGCCAGGAAATTAAAAGGCG